ATCATGTGGTAAATGTATGTCTTCGGTGCAGTATGGGCGGTCGGGTAGCCTTGTGGTCAAAGCGTTCGCTCGTCACGCCAAAGACCCGGGTTCGATTCCCGACATGGGTATAATGTGTGAAGCCCATTTCTGGTGTCCCCCGCCATGATATTGCTTGAATATTGCTAAAAGCGGCGTAAAACAATACTCACTCACTCACTCACTCGGTGCAGTATGTATGTGCATACCAAGTCCATGCTGTTAACATAATACAAATTTATTTGGAATATTGGGCATTAGTCATGTTAATTTCCTCATCAAATGTTCAGATAAAAGAAAACTGGTGCCCCCAACATGCCAAGCATATTTTACCAATTTGTTCTTGCTTAAACATGTCTAACAGTGAATGTATTTAAACAAATATATGTATTGTTCTCAATTTAGATTCTATTTAGTTTCTATTCAATATTGTACATCATGAAGTCACGGAGTGCTGCCGTTGTACATTGTCGGCACGTTTTAGCCCTATGCACCTGAAATGAAGCCATTTGAATGGGCAGTTCTGGTTGTGAAATCCATCAACACTCCCGTCATCGTCATCATATGGCACCTTCTTTTGATGGCGCTTTGATGGTTGATTTTTGCTTTTGTATAGGGATATATCTGCAAGGCACCTCCTACTTATCTGTTGTCCAGTTGGTGGCATTGGCGTATATGTTACACCCAATCTATGCAACTGCCCATCAAGTTATATGATAGTTTCCCACATGTGTTGGTCCAGATTATGAACAAATTCTGTTTCAGCCCCAGATAAGAATGATACTCGTAACATATCTTTTTCGTCTTGCATTTAGAAATCAACATATTTTTGAACGTCAGGTAAGTCAATGAGAGAAGAAGAAACCGCATTTCTTTCTGATATAAGCACTTCACAAAGTAAAATAATGTGGCTGTCATAGAATAAATCCCTTATACCCCGCTTCAAAGCATGGGGTTATATGCGTCCCTCTTTAGGTTTTATACCACTCGGGGTACATGGGGTTATATGTGTCCCTCTTTAGGTTTTATACTACTCGGTGTACATGGGGTTATATGTGTCCCTCTTTAGGTTTTATACCACTCTGGGTACATGGGGTTATATGTGTCCCTCTTTAGGTTTTATACCACTCGGGGTACATGGGGTTATATGCGTCCCTCTTTAGGTTTTATACCACTCGGGGTACATGGGGTTATATGTGTCCCTCTTTAGGTTTTATACCACTCGGGGTACATGGGGTTATATGCGTCCCTCTTTAGGTTTTATACCACTCGGGGTACATGGGGTTATATGCGTCCCTCTTTAGGTTTTATACCACTCGGGGTACATGGTTTTTTTTGCGTCCCGTGTTAGGTTTTATACCACGAGTCGGAGGGCCCCCACGTGCCCCTTGTGATCCTGCTACAACTTATATTATATCAGCAGTATTATTATTATAGCTATCACAACAAAAAAAGGCATAGCATATGTACAATTCCACACAGCTTATCAAATTCAAATATCTATACGAAGACAGATATCCACTAAGAGATATATATCAAAAGATGCTTTAGTTCGTACAGATACGATGCGAATTGTTAAATGATAGTTTCCCACATGTGTTGATCCAGATTATGAACAAATTCTGTTTCAGCCCCAGATGAGAATGATACTCGTATCATATCTTTTTCGTCTTGCATTTAGAATTCAACCTATTTTTGAACGTCAGGTAAGTCAATGAGAGAAGAAGAAACCTCATTTCTTTCTAAAATATAAGCACTTCACAAAGTAAAATAATGTGGCTGTCATAGTCGAAAGCATGCCAATTACAGAGCATGTACTCTTTCGAAAGTTTACTGCATGATGAGACTTTCACACAAAGTTGTAAAGCAGGTCGATATTCCGGGTACAGAACAGCTCATTGCCAAAGTACATGTTATGTTAATTTCATATGAATTCTCTTATATCGGGACATGCTTGCGTTATTTGATACATTTGTGAGCCATAATTGTTCTACGTATTTGCATATTGTTCAACATGATTTCTCCATTTTAATTTTGGAGGGAATTCAAATTCAAATTCAAATTACGCATTTATATAGCGCTACCTATCCAGACATACTGCCTGCTATAGAGCGCTCGGTCGTACGCTCTTTTGAAGAGGATGGTCTTGAGATTTGATCTTCAGATCCCCTGACATCACTGGGCAGTGCATTTCATAGAGTTGCACCTGCTTTTCGGAAGGTTCTGTCGCCATATGTTGTTCTGCTGGCTGGTGGAACAACAAGCTGTAGTTTGTTTGTAGATCTCAGTGTTCGGCCAGGTTGGTAAAGGGCAGTGAGTTCCTGGAGGTATACTGGGGATAGCTCATGGATCGATTTGTAGACAAACATGATCAGCTTGAACACGATCCTGAGTCTCACAGGTAGCCAGTGCAGCTCTTTCATGACGGGTGTAATGTGTTCACGCATTGACTTCCGTGTGATGAGTCTCGCAGCAGTGTTTTGCACACGCTGTAGTCAATCCAGATGCTGCTGGAAGGTACCGTACTGAGTATGATGAAACTCCATCACATTAAACATATTGCGTGCCTATATATTAATATAATTACCATAATGCTAATTGTGAAAACTACACCTGGAACTAGGCTAAATGTAAATTCAACTTACTATTGCTGATATTAGACAGAGGTCATTATGTTGAATGCATCCTGTGACCTTCGCCCATCCATACGTGGACGCGTGAATTGGTTAACATCATCAAAGTCATGTGTGAGCGCTTTCCTTGATAACAAAATAGTCTATAATGTTGTTTGTTGGTACCTTCAGCCAACGTGTTGACATCGGGTGAGCAATCACTCTTAGGCGCTTCGTATGGATTAACATCACCAACTAAACAAATCGCGACGGAGCATCTATCAATAAGAACCATGTGAGATAGAGGTTTGATTGGCTGGTTGAAAGGTTATGTCTCGCTTTGATGAGCTAAATTACCGCTTCTCAAGACTATACAGGTTACTAGAAGTCATCTGCTATTTAAGCGACAGACAAATCATGTGTATGGTGTTTTGTTCACGGATGTGTGAAAAGTGTTATTATGGAGTTCTCTCCCTTACATCATACGCCTGGAGTTTCTTAAGCCTGTTCAAATATGAGGTCTGATCAGCGTCGGTCGGCTTTAACGCGGGAAATGCAGAAAACAGCATTTCATATGCACACTGCCACAGCAACAAAAGCAGGTTTTCAAACACCCGGAAATCAAATGAAAACTGGGTGTGGTAGGGTTGGACATGCTTCACCTTTTTGCGATCTCTGATGATGATTCATATAATTTTAACACTGTCAGCTATTTTGCGTTTTACGCCCAATAGAATCATCTGTTTCGGCAGATAATCGAGTATGGTTATTCTCTGGCGCTGATGTTTGTAATGTTTCTTTATTATCAACACTTTGTCATGAGTTGCAGTGAGGTGTCTCTGAAGTAGGAAATCGTGTTGAGAAACTAACAGTGTCAGCGTGACATCAACAATTATAGACTGTGATAACGGTGATCATATCTGGGGGCGTAAGATCAGTGCTATACGCGTGCTTCGCGAGGATTACCTGGCTGAGCCTGAGACATGGGGTTGATGAAGGTTGGTTGGTTGGTTTGTTGTTTAACGCCGCACTCAGCAATATTACAGCTATATGACGGCGGTCTGTAAATAATCGAGTCTGGACCAGACAATCCAGTGATTAATGTCATGAGCATCGATCCACGCAATTGGGATCGATGACATGCATCAACCAAGGCAGCGAGCCTGACCACCCGATCCCGTTAGTCGCCTTTTACGACAGGTTGATGAAGGGAGTGAAATGGCAGTCAGCATCCGAGAACCCAGAGAGGGATGCAGATGTGCACTAGGGCCTCATAACAAATCCGACAAATTGCTTCGACATGTTTGCGTTCACATAGCGCTTGTCCATTGCCTTGCTATTACAAATGTACTATCCTTCACCTTAAAGCTGTACCCACTGTGCATGGATAATAAAGCCACCTGACACACAAGATCAAATCACTCTTTCTTTCCTGATAATCCAAAAGAACCATACAAATTCGCACTGCGTGCATACATTCACTTTACCTAGCTTGATTTTACATCCTTATAATAGGACAAGACCCTTTCCATAATCATAAGAAATCTCTTTTGAACGATTCCGATTATCTCACGAGCATGTGTTTATGAATCACTATCGAATAGCGATGCTACTAGGTGTTCGCCAAAAGGTAGCCACGTAAGTGTCCATATAAATCCATCATTCTCGAATAAATGGATATTTCACTAGTCCATGTAACGGGTACTCCGTACTAGTTCAATGTCTACATTTTTTCTCAGAAAGGGGAGAACATTTCGGTTAACATCAGTCAGCAATATTCCAGCTTCTTTGATAGGCATTTAGAAGTTGGAGTACTAAGTGAGGATAAGAATGTATAGATGAACAACTGTGTTGTTACAATTAAGAGCGACGTGTCGGTGTAGGTTCTAACACCGTTATCAAGCGATCACTAATTAATTGTAATAAAGATGTTGCTTGATAACGGTGTTAGAACCTACGCCGAAACGTCGCTCTTAATTGTAATAAAGAAGTTTACTATATATTCCAGCACCTGTCAATGACCTAGCTTAGGATAAGCAAACCAGTGGTAAAAAGCATGAATAACATCCACTCTGTCGGGCTGACACACAGTCACCCTGATCACACACTGCGTTCCTCACTAGTCACCTCTCACGATCAGCAGGAACTACCGAAGACATGTTCTGTTACGGAATCCCTACAGGAACTGTATCCAATTAGGACAGAAACGTGTGCGTGGAATGACGTGTATCATATAGCCCGAACGCAACCATTCAAGTTGACCTCATCAACCTGATTGCCAACATACCGAGATTAGCCGTGAATGTTGCAATACGTGTAGGCGTACCTTGATCTGGCGGGTATCACGTTGCTAGGTGTTCCAGGTATGTGTGGACGGTCGTATACGTTTCCCACCCGACGGGCTCATATGATATAGCCTCGTCCTAGTCTCTTACAGTGATCCTACGGACATTTGAGCAACCATGCTTTCTTTGGATCCTATTATTGGGCTGCTAATACTGTTCTGCTCATCAAACATTTCCGGTAGGTTTCCCGCCATTCTCTACTGTGAAAGATGTAGAGGATATTCCGTGTGTTGAGTGATACATGTATATCATGGTTTTCTCATCGAGTGAAGACAAGGGGGTAAGGGAGACAATTTGAGGGGAGTTCACTCTTGTATAACAATAGTTCCGTCATAGTGTTATTTTCACTGCAGTGAAATATCAATTGTTATCTTTACTGCAATGAAAATGTCACTTTTCACATCTAAAACTCAGTCTCTAACACTTAAGAATATGATAAAGTTTGTTGTAACTGTAATAACTTGATCGGGCGGTGCGGTGCGGTGCGGTGCGGTGCGGTGCGGTGCGGTGCGGTGCGGTGCGGGTTACATGTATGTGTGGCATTCGGGTGTTGATCAGTAAGGGGAATTTTATTGTGTTAGGTCATTGCTTTAAAACACACAATTGTCCTCTGTGAACTTGGTTTCACAATACATGTTTTACAGTTTTTTAGTACTTTTTAAAGAAAGGTGAATCAAGTTTTTGTCAACATTGCAGATGCTGTGTCTTCATGCGGTAACTCTAATCTGACGGCAACATCCAACCATAGCTATCTTGAATCTCCCGGGCACCCAGCGATGTTATCCAGGTAAATATCGATCTGGTATCCTAACGCCTGCTACATGTGGTCGTGGCAATATTTGTAACTGTTATGTTTAGAAACCGTAATGCTACAGTTTGTTATGCATGTAGAAATATACTGTCAGTATTTGTCTTAATTTCTCACCGACTTCAAAGTAACTAGAAATGAAATACGTGTACTTGTAGTTTCTCTTATGATACATACGTGATTTGCAAGTAAATACATACCTTCCAGTGCAGTTATAGAATTGGCTAATCGTTAAAGCCATGCGGTTCATATTAATATAATCAGTGTATGTTGTCAGTTGCCAATAAATGTATATTATAATACTTAATTTGTCTTCATTGTGTGCACAGTGTTGGTATTGGCTGTCATTGGATTTCCTCATGTTGTATATTCAGTGATGAATCCTGTACATGGTTAATCTCAAAGTCGTCAAACTCTGACATGATCCATGTACGTATTGAAGTGATCGATATGAACATGACTGTTTCATTAACTGCCTGCACGGAGGATTACATTGAAGTATTTGATGGTACGAATTTCTCTATATAATAGAAGAAATACATATATGTACACATCAAAACATATCGTTACGATTTCTTTTGAAAATAACCAAAAGGAATTATAAGTGTGTATAATTTATCCTGGTAACATAATAGGAATGATACGTATATATCAAATATTCGCATATCATAAGATATACGATATTTTGTAGTTCAAATAAAATAAAAGTGACACAACCCTTTCCATGATCATAAGAAATCTCTTAAGAATTGATTTAGAAAGTAATAAATTTTGAATGCAGTTGCTAAATGTTTTACCTCAGGACCTACAACATCTTCACATAGCTTGGGGAAATGGTGCGGAAAGCAAAGGCCAAAAGTACAGAGTACTTGGAATTCCCTTACTGTGTACTATAAGAGCAGCAACACTAGCACATCCAACAGGGGATTCAAGCTCGAGTATTTCGAAACTAAAGGTAACCTTGGCGTGTACATACGGTATACATGCAGTTTAAATTAATTTTATTGCTTGCTTAATTAATGATATTCTCCTTTCAAAGGTTTTGATATATAAATGGGGAGAAGGTAAGCTGATTCAGAAATCACATAAGACAATGGCAGTTTGGTACCTTGAAACGTCAGTCAACGAAACTGACAATGACACATGCCTTCTAACTTCAACGAACATTTTGCAGAAGATGTAGTGAAGATTATCACTTAATAACACATTGTATACTAATAGCCACCGTATCGATGCAAATTTCCATGACGTGATACATATTTTCATGTACTGGTGATACGTTAAGCCTGGTTAACGTGCTGCAGCTGAGTCTAAACTCAGGAAGTATATTAGATTTGAGAAACTCATTTACCAATAGTTCAAAACATATTGTATCGTACACAATGCATGCTATTGAATACCTTTCTAGTAGATCCACGAAAACCCGAGTTAGAAATTGTCTTCAGCAACCCATGCTTGTCGTAGGAGGCGACTAACGGGATCGGTTCGCAGGGCTTGCTGACTTGGTTGATGTATGTCATCATATCCCAAATGCGTAGATCTATGTTCATGCTATCAATCACTGGATTTTCTGGTCCAGACCCGATTATCTGCAGACCACCGTCATATAACTGTGGAGTTAACAACTGGAATAATGCTGTGTGCGGCGATAAACAACAAATAAACAAACAACAACCCTTTCCAGTAAGTTAGATTTCAAATGTTGATTTTCACACCTGCTGTCACTCTTCGTCACGTATGATAATGTGATACTTCTGATCGAACATAAAAACCTACGGTTACATTTTATGATAAATATGCACATAATATGACTTACGATTTATGTTTCGAATATTGTTTGTATTTAAAGAATTGTTGTCCTGTGGAGGGTTTTACAATTTTACCGGCTCCTTCCTGCAAGCCCCAGGTTATCCTACATCATACAGAACGTAAGTTGTCATAATTATATTTGTTTTGCATCATTTAAAAGGTAAACGCTCTTATCTGTCCCACAGGAGAGTTCAACTAAAAAGCAAACTTCTATACAATCTCATATTGCCAAAAATCTGTGTAATGACAAAGGCTGTAAAGACACATGTTAAGTACATAATTATATTTGCATGTTCGTAAATAAATCTTTAGTGTTTTTGTTTGACAATGCCATAAAGTGATTAGTGAAGTTCATCATTATATTTCAGTGACACGAACTGTATCTGGCTGATAGAAGTTCCAAATGATTATAATATACGTATCATCGTTGAAGACTATGACATACTGGCGTCTAAAGATTGCAGTGTTGATGACCTTCGTTTTGTGGACGGTAAGCTTAACAAAGCTTAGCTGAAAAAGTCCATTCACCTAAAATTAGTATTCGTTGTATATTAATAATAGAAAATATCACAACAAGGCGTTGTATATATTACGGGCCTTATATTAGGTGTGCCAGAATCTGCTGATGGTTTCCTATCCCATATTCTTTCTGTGTATGATCCTTGATCTCTCAGCAGCATAAATGTATGCGTGTACTTTTCCAAAATAATAAACAATCTACGTCTACCAATCTACCAATCAGCCCCTCATATGACTTACAGAAATGACTCTATTCGTATTTGGAGTTTGCAAACAACATGTGCACTTTGATTTTTATGAATGTTCTTGTTTTTTTAATGATGGATTGTCTGCGACAGATAGTTGAGGCCTTAACTATTGATAGATTGTTTTTGTTTTTTAATTCCACACACGGAGTTCGGTTTAGCGTTGACTGATATCTTTATGTGATATTAATCATTTCACTACTCCGTTTTAGGAATGAGCCCCCATTCGCCGGAAATTGGAGTATTATGTGGCACGTTACCTCCGCGCAGCGGCGTTCTGCAGTATACGTCATCTGGTCAAGTACTGCGGGTCGAATTCTCTGCAGATCCCTATCGTGCAGTAGTGAGACCCAGAGGCTTTAAACTGGCATATTTGAAAGGAAAATTTGACCGTAAGTGTTAAATAAAGTTTAATTTCGTAAAGGTGTACTGTGTACCTTGAATATGACATTTCAAAACTAAAATTATTTTCCAGTATCGTGATCATGACGAAACTGTCGTTTGGAATATCTTATACTTCCAGCATGCACAGATACACACCTATTGGCATCTAAGGCGCAACAGTTCATTACGTCGCCGAATTATCCTGATAACTACACAAGGTAACCTCCGTCATTTCTGACAACTGCATGTTATCCGCTGAAGGTGGAAGGAGCAATTCCAACATCCACTGTTCATTTAATAATCGACTCACAATATCACGTATGTATGTGTAATTCATACCTCCGGATGCAGTTACCACCACATCTCACAAACATGACTCTCACTACATGTACAGATGCGGTTGATTGCCATATCTCACTGACATGACTATCATCACATGTTCAGATGCAGTTAACCGCCACATCTCACTGACATGACTCTCACTACATGTTCAGATGCAGTTAACCGCCATATTTCACTGACATGACTCTCACTACATGTTCAGATGCAGTTAACCGCCACATTTCACTGACATGACTCTCACTACATGTTCAGAAGCAGTTTACCGCGACATCTCACAAACATGACTCTCAATACATGTACGGATGCGCTTAATTGCCACATCTCATTGACATAACTCGCACTACATGTTCAGATGCAGTTAACCGCCACATCTCACAAACATGACTCTCACTACATGTTCAGATGCAGTTAACCACCACATTTCACTGACATGACTCTCACTACATGTTCAGATGCAGTTAACCACAACATTTCACTGACATGACTCTCACTACATGTTCAGATGCAGTTAACCACCACATTTCACTGACATGACTCTCACTACATGTTCAGATGCAGTTAACCGCCACATCTCACAAACATGACTCTCTCTACATGTTCAGATGTAGTTAACCACCACATTTCACTGACATGACTCTCACTACATGTTCAGAAGCAGTTAACCACAACATTTCACTGACATGACTCTCACTACATGTTCAGATGTAGTTAACCACCACATTTCACTGACATGACTCTCACTACATGTACGGATGCGGTTATCCACCACATTTCACTGACATGACTCTCACTACATGTACAGATGCCGTTAACCGCCACATCGCACTGACATGACTCTCACTACATGTAAGGATGCGGTTAACCGCCACATCGCACTGACATAACTCTTACTACATGTACTCTCCACAACAGTATCAGAGCAAAGTGTAAATTCCTACGTGTATGAAACACATGTACGTGCTCACGCATGACGTGAATATTTAATTCTCTAAACTATATGTTCCTTTCTTTAACAGTAACAGTAACTGTTTGTGGCGAATACAGTCCACCAGACCAGGATATCTGGTACAACTGACCCCACTTCACTTCTCGCTGCAGCAATCTCCGAACTGCAGTTCTGATTACGTATCTGTGTATGACGGTGAGCATGACATTGTTGTGTCTGAGAGGCGAATATATATATATATATATATATATATATATATATATATATATATATATATCTGTGTGTGTGTGTCATTTCTGACAACTGCATGTTATCCGCTGAAGGTGGAAGGAGCAATTCCAACATCCACTGTTCATTTAATAATCGACTCACAATATCACGTATGTATGTGTAATTCATACCTCCGGATGCAGTTACCACCACATCTCACAAACATGACTCTCACTACATGTACAGATGCGGTTGATTGCCATATCTCACTGACATGACTATCATCACATGTTCAGATGCAGTTAACCGCCACATCTCACTAACATGACTCTCACTACATGTTCAGATGCAGTTAACCGCCATATTTCACTGACATGACTCTCACTACATGTTCAGATGCAGTTAACCGCCACATTTCACTGACATGACTCTCACTACATGTTCAGATGCAGTTAACCACCACATTTCACTGACATGACTCTCACTACATGTACGGATGCGGTTATCCACCACATTTCACTGACATGACTCTCACTACATGTACAGATGCCGTTAACCGCCACATCGCACTGACATGACTCTCACTACATGTAAGGATGCGGTTAACCGCCACATCGCACTGACATAACTCTTACTACATGTACTCTCCACAACAGTATCAGAGCAAAGTGTAAATTCCTACGTGTATGAAACACATGTACGTGCTCACGCATGACGTGAATATTTAATTCTCTAAACTATATGTTCCTTTCTTTAACAGTAACAGTAACTGTTTGTGGCGAATACAGTCCACCAGACCAGGATATCTGGTACAACTGACCCCACTTCACTTCTCGCTGCAGCAATCTCCGAACTGCAGTTCTGATTACGTATCTGTGTATGACGGTGAGCATGACATTGTTGTGTCTGAGAGGCGAATATATATATAAATATATAAATATATATATATATATATATATATATATATATATATATATATATATATATATATATATATATATATATATTCGCCTCTCAGTGATATGTGGCGGTTATATCTGTGTGTGTGTGTGTGTGTGTGTGTGTGTGTGTGTGTGTGTGTGTGTGTGTGTGTGTGTGTGTGTGTGTGTGTGAAATGAAGTAAAACAATTTTTATAAGAAAAAACTTTCTAGTAGGATAAAGTGTTGATATAATTCTTTTGTGATTGTGATGAAGTAGTTTGCCTAAAGATATTTGAAATATTAAAGCCTTAGAAATTGAACAATGTACATAGATGTACATTTCAGGCTATAGAGCCCTATCAACATCCATGTGTACATGCATGTACATTGCAGCATCTACTATTCTATTAACTTGCATGTATACATGTGCAGGTCAGCCACAAGTGCTCTAACAACATGATTGTATACATGTACAGGTCAGCCACTAGTGATCTAACAACATGATTGTATACATGTACAGGTCAGCTACTAGTGATCTTACAACATGATTGTATACATGTACAGGTCAGCCACTAGTGATCTAACAACATGATTGTATACATGTACAGGTCAGCCACTAGTGATCTAACAACATGATTGTATACATGTACAGGTCAGCCACTAGTGATCTAACAACATGATTGTATACATGTACAGGTCAGCCACTAGTGATCTAACAACATGATTGTATACATGTACAGGTCAGCCACTAGTGATCTAACAACATGATTGTATACATGTACAGGTCAGCCACTAGTGATCTAACAACATGATTGTATACATGTACAGGTCAGCCACTAGTGATCTAACAACATGATTGTATACATGTACAGGTCAGCCACTAGTGATCCAACAACATGATTGTATACATGTACAGGTCAGCTACTAGTGATCCAACAACATGATTGTATACATGTACAGGTCAGCCACTATTGATCTAACAACATGATTGTATACATGTACAGGTCAGCCACTAGTGATCTAACAACATGATTGTACATGTACATTCTAGGTTCGAGTGCGGGACCCGGGGAGGCCCCTATAGGACGATGGTGTGGTTCTCACATGACAGCTATACACAGTAATCAATCAACCATGCTGTTTATTTTTCACACTGATGGCAGTCATTCACAGTCGGGTTTCAACATCAGCTACACTGAAATACCATCACCAAGACGTGAGTCTGCTCAATATAAAAATCATGAATTATGTGAATGTTGCAACGTTTTCGTTGCCACTGCGTGCTCCAATTAAATAACGTTTCATTATCAGCTACCTTGGGAGTAAAAAGTTGTCCTCTTATCTTTTCAGATATCTCTGGTGGTACAGGAATGGGTGTTTCGGTGATTTTTTATTGGCTATCTGTTGTCACGTTGGCAACTGTTTTGTACCTTTAAATGTCATATAGACACATGGACGGCGAAGTAGCATTTATAGTACATCTGGGTATATCCTTATGAAAGTGTTTTGTTGCTTTTGTTATTATATATATATCCTTTTAAAAATATATTTTGACACACACGGGTTTATTTGTCTTTTTTGGTTAATTATTTAATTCTATTCCACGTGACAGTACATATTTATGATTTAAGTCGTAGAATAAGGATCAATGATACTGAATAAAATATATTTGTTTCATTTCGATCTACGTTGTGTTGTACATGTGTGTGGTTCATACACACAACATGCAGGTATTTAATACCGATTTTGGTGCTGTGTTTAGCCATGAACGTAATGCAGTGATGACAGACCTAATTAGGAGATCATGCTATGCCTGAGTGTAGTTGGGTGTCAGTTCAAATCACGGAGAGAAGTACAACAACAACAGATCAAAATGGGGATATCAAGCAATGCATGGAGGGTCCGCGTCGGTAGATTCAAAATACCTACAGGTTACAGGCAAGTAACTGGCCATACTGGCCATCCTGGACCGACGTGGCCTATCGTTTGTTGTTATGTACAACACAGCTGGCCTCTGTGTGGTATCTAGGGTCATCTACAGCATCAACTATACCCTCTGTGTTACCTACTCTTATTCCGCCACCATCGATGTGTATATCGGGTGAATTTTGTGAGAATATCCTTACCTGCAGAGCTTTCCCGACATTTTTGATATATCGAAAACTGGACAATAGGATTGATGTTGGCCAATACTGTGATATGAATCTATTAATTTTGTCCGGGGTCATTGAGCTTAACCTTGGGCAGACCTGCAACAGATCTTGATGAGTTAATGAGGACATTAATTGAAGAATACAGAGGATCAGAGGAGAGATTAAATAAGAACATCGACTGAATTTTAACTGAGCTTAAGGTAATTAAGGACGAGGAACGTGTCCTGAGAAAAGATGCAGACAGTACTAAAGAAACGCAGGATATAATAGGATTAGATATAGATTCTCTAGCGGAAAAACGTCACGATATGAAGGTCTATTGTGACAGACTCCATCATATTGAGGAGAGAGTTGAACACCATGAACGTCACAGTCGACAAAACAATCTCATTCTCCATAGAGTCCCGTAATCGGGTTAGGAATCCTACGATGTGTGCAGTGACAAAGCGCTAGACATTATCAACAGAACAAGAGATAAAGATCGAGGTCTGCCCCGTCTATCTGCTGAAGATGTAAAACGTGCTCACAGGCTCCCCGAATGAGGGGACAGGGGACCACACCCACTTATAGCGAGAATGATCAGTAACTGGTGGACAAACTAAAGCTTGTTGGTATGGGAGTCAGACAACACTCACTTACCTTCTGATGCAAATTGAGTGGCGAGTGGCAGGGTCACTGATGCGTGGTGTCAGGCAACAAACACACAGTGATAATACCTTTTGGTGCAGATTGGGCGGGTGATATCGCTAGGGCAGGACATGCTTACCAGTTTCAGCGAACCATTCATGATTTTACACTGCTAGTTTGCATTGAACGTCCAATGGACTGGTTATTTTCTGGCGTTGACGTTTTAAGTATATTCGATACACTATTCCGTACAAATCTTTTTATGCACACAACTACATCGTCTGACGCCTGGATTACATGTTGCTCTACAGATACACAGCTGATTACTTAGTCGTGTGGTTGTGGGAATGGTCTTTTGAGCAATATTCAGGCTATACCCAACAAGTTAACCGCCACATCTCCTGACATGACTCTCACTATATGTACGGATGCGATTAACCGCAACATGCCATGCTGCTTAACAGATAAACATCTGATTTCTAAGTCGTGTGATTAAGATGAGTGAGTGTGATTGGTTTGTTGAGCAATATTCAAGCTATACCACGACAACTTAACCGCCACATTTCACTGACATGACTCGCACTACATGTACGGATGCGGTTACCTTAGGAATTGGCTGCTCGTATTGTCCCCTATATGGAAAACGAACTCAGACTTATAGACAGACAATACAGTAAACTACGGTTATAACGAACACGCTTATAACGAACTTACTTTTTTGTCCCTAAAATTTGCTGTAGTTATGCTGTATATATGCTTATAACGAACTACGGTTATAACGAACTAATATTTGTGGTCCCTTTGAGTTCGTTATAACCGTAGTTTACTGTAAATTCAATTTTTAGTAGCTTCTATTTGTCCAATGGATGAAGATAGCGTCATCATCGCGACATCAATTCCGAGATTACTAGCTTCGACAGATTCATTTTGTGAATTTTCTTCTCTGCACATTATATATTAACTAAAATATTGTCAAAGCTGTGTTAAACCCAACTGTCAGCCTCTCACTATATCTTCACAGGTAGGTGTTGTACTCGATTGTCTCTTGAATACGCGTCACGATTATTGAACCTTGAGAGCCTTAAGCAACCACAACTGTCAGGTCACTGAAGTAACCTTTCATCCCGTCAAACAAAGGAGTGACTGTGACAAGATAGCCTCTATTGACATTGTTAAATATAGATTAGGTAGACGCTACAACATATGTATACATGCTTATGAGGTCAAACCAAACAGTTAGTGAGTGATTTAGTGAGTTGGGTTTTACGCCGCTTTGAGTGAGTGAATTAGTGACGTGGGTTTAACGCCGCTTTGAGTGGGTGAGTGAGTTGGGTTTTACGCCGCTGCTAGCAATATTCAGGCAATATCACGGGGCTTCACACATGGCACCCATGTGAGGAATAGAACCCGGGTCTTCGGCCTGACGAGCGAACTTCCAGTTACATCATTAAATGGGAGGAAATGCAGTGACGCAGGTATGAGACGCTTACCAATTAGGTAACTTACGAGCACGGGTATGGTGCTGACAAACCTCGAAACATAATATGGAGTCGAACCCACATTCATAGGATTCCGGCGTTCCAAAGGGACGCAAATTTGCACATCGAATCGCGGCGACATAGACAACTGGGCCACCCGTGCCCCTAGGAAACTATTAACGATATATTAAATAACATTAAGAACAAATAAAATAGTTTAATAACACACATTTAATCTCCAAACGAAGAAACGCATGTGTGGTAACAATCCCCTATACTGTGGATAGAAAGTATTCTATGTTACATGACTTCATGAAAATAAAGTTAACATTTTCTTTTCTACCGTCAAAATGTCACAAAATAATGTTCTTGTCTTTAATAGAGTTATTATCGATGATCTTTGACATTATGCATGATTCGTTTTCTTGGGAAACTGAAAGGTAGTTTTCACCTGCAAGTCATTGACGTTGTCTCGGGTTTCTCGGACAACTTTATAACACTTCAGTCAACTAAGATAATTTTGAAAATCGTCATCACAAGAATCAATGATAACGCGACAAAAACGCTAATGGTACTTCAAGGTTTGAAGCTTGTGAATCACTAGGATCAGTTGCGAGGCATTTCAACGTTTATCGAACACACAATTCCGACACGATATTGACAAAATAACACCACAGGATATCAATGAAGATCAGGGAGACACAGCATCACCAGAGCGGACAAGGCCTGCTACATCACTGCAACGTACACTACAACACAAGTGCCAGGTTACGTCCCATATCTGCACTGACTGTCCATAACTGTACACCTGCTGCCGGTGTCACGAAATATATTCGCCCCCAGAATAAAATCTCCCCCCGGCGAATTTATACCGGTACAGTTCCGCCCCTCTCGAAATAAACTCTCCCCCACCCTACGAAATAAAGTCTCCCCCCAGAATATTTCCTCCCCCGGTCGTTTTATAAATACTTGCCATGCAGTTCAATAGTTGATGTTATTTTGGGTTAGGTAATGTTGTAATCTATTTTTAGCCATTGATTCCATTACTTTGCATAAGTTTGAAGTTAGGGATATTGGTCTATATGAGTTAGCTTGATTGGCTGGTTTATTAGGTGTAGGGATTGGTATGACTAGGGCCTGTTTCCAGGGAGTAGGAACCTGTCCGTTTAGGTAGATGAGATTGTATAGTTTGAGTAGTGCCTGGAGTAGTTTTAGCGGGAGATTTTTAATTATTTGGTAAGAAGTTTGGTAAAGGCTGTGCCCTTTTTCCTGTTTTGGATTACATAGAGGAGCTCCTCCATTGTGAAGGATTGGTTTATTTCTAGATTGTTATTGTTTGGTTCTTTTGTGGGTTTGTTTTTTGTTTTAAGTTTATCTTGGAATTTTTGGCTGAAGTTGGTGTTACTGCTAACAGCCGAAAAGTGGTTGGCGAGATTATTTGCTTTTTGGGCGGGGTTGGTTGAGTTGTTAATGTTAGGGTATTTTTATGTCGTTTTAAGCCTCTAATAGCTTGGATTTTGCGCCAGACCGTTCTGGCATCTGTACGGTTATTTATACCTTGGCTAGTTGGACTAGTTTTTTAACCTGGAGGTTTAGTTCGTGGGCTATGTTTAGATGTTTGTAGTCGCGTTTTGCTTTATTTAAGGCTGATTTACGTTTTCGTCTAGTCTGTTCTATTTCCTCATTCCACCATGGTACCGTGGGTTTGCCTAGCCTGTCTTAGATGTTTTGAAGGGGATGGAGGTTCTGGCTCTGTTTATTATATAGTCTGTTAGGTTTCTACAATAGGTTTCTGGATCATTATTTTCTATTTCGTTTAAGTTAGCTTCGTTGCAGATATCTTGGAATTGGTCCCAGTTAGCTTTATTGTAATGGAATTTTGGTTCTTGGTTTTCTGTTTGGATTGGTACGTTTGTATTTCCTATGGTTATGTTTATGGGGAAGTGGTCACTACCTAGCGGGACGTCGTGCATTTCCCATTGAGTACTTTGAGCTAGATCTGCGGTGCATATGGTTAGGTCGATAGCCGACATTTTTTGGTTTATCTTATCGTACCTCGTGGGTTGGTTGTTATTTAGGAGTACTAGGTCGTTTGTTTCTATCCATTCGGAAATTAATTTGCCATGATTATCTATTTTATCATCTATGCTCCATGTAGGATGGTGAGCGTTAAAGTCTCCTGGGAATATAGTAGATGTATCGCTTATTTTGAGTAGTTTGTTTAGATCCTCAAGTTGGACTTTTGTTCCGCCCAGTGGTATATATTTATGATGTTTATTTTTCGGTTATATAATGTGATTTTAATGCCGTTGGCTTCTAGGTTTGGCGTGTCTATTTTTATTTCTTCGTAATTTATATCTTCCCTGATAAATATGATTAGTCCT